GTTTTCTTAGCGATTCGGAACCTTTTTTAAGGATAGCGTTGATGAAAAAACACGACTAGTGAATCTTTCCTTATGAACCCGTGTTTGCGGGAAGACGCGCGCCATATAACGTGCCCATGCAATCGTCCCAGCTTGCATCGAATACGGACACGGCATCACTGTCGGTATCAGACAGTCGGTATCGGTATCGTATAATACGGACACGACATCACGGTCGGTATCGGACAGTATCGGACAGTCGGTATCGGTATCGTATAATACGGACACTGCATCACTGTCGGTATCGGACAGTATCGGACAGTCGGTATCGGTATCGTATAATACGGACACGGCATCACTGTCGGTATCGGACAGTCGGTATTGGTATCGGTATCGGTATCGTATAATACGGACACTGCATCACTGTCAGTATCGGACAGTCGGTATCGGTATCGTATAATACGGACACGGCATCACTGTCGGTATCGGACAGTATCGGACAGTCAGTATCGGTATCGTATACGGACGGCATCACGGAGCTGTAAATCAGCGTAGGTCAGTGATTTGGCGTGACGGCCGCACGAGCCTGTGTGAGGAGCGGGTTAAGGGTTTATTGGGGGCCCCAGCTCCGGCCCATTGTAAGCGCCCACACAGCCGCGACGTGTCTCGTAAACTGTTTGCGGAAAACCTAAGAGATTTAACAGGCAAAGGAGTTTTCTGTTAAACTAACAGTTGAGCGCGCTCGTTAACAGGCGAGGTAACGAGGCTGGAGTCTGCAGCTCTGAATCTCGCATCTTCTGTTCCGCAGCATCGTACGGATGTGACCGTTCACACCTCACTTCCGTTCCCATAGTGCGCTGTCCCCTGCTCGCTCACTATTTGTCATCATTTTTGCGTTCCCTCTCCTATGACGACACGTGTAAGCCGGCGCCGTATATACAGATGACCTAGTTTCGAGTAGAAAAGGTGTCGTTAGACAACCGTAAGCCCGAATTCACGCGGCGCTCTCGGATCGCGTAGGCGCGTTCTGGACTCTTGCCATCGCTTCTCACGCCAAATTGGGCACGGCGAATCGACTAGCCGCATGTTTTTCGTCTCGTGTTATGCGTTATAAGTGGGTGAGCGGTCGTAGATCAAGATTACAATGCTGCTCGAGTCTTGCCCGAGTAGTTGTGCGTGTGCGTGTGCGTGTGCGTGTGCGTGTGCGTGTGC